GGGTGGAGGGGGGGTGGGGTGGGGTGGTACACGTTTTACGACCACATGTGACGTCTTTCGGCCACAGACATGACGTCTTCCGTGGTCATAACGCCCTTCGCCACGATCTGGCTGGCATGAGGGAGGAGGTACGGAGGGTGTACTCAAGTTTCGCATGCCTTAGCGGTTAGGCCATTGACCACGCGTCCTACAGAGGATGGAGGGTTGTCCCCGCACAGGGCCAGGGTTAAATCTGTCATGTCTTCCAACCACGAACACCATCCACGGTACTTTTACACCGTGCCTGCGTGCACCTGTCTCAGTATCGATTCTCACCTTCATGCTGCCGCAGATCGTGCGCAACCACTTGATGTCGTTCCAGTCCAACGTCCTGTCGATAAGGCTTGCCACGTACGCTGCGAGGCCCTGAGGTATGCCATAGGTACGGTAGGTGCCGGGGGGAACGACGGGCACCAAGCACAACAGCAAGGGCAGAAACCATAACGACAAAAATATCGTCAAGCACAACAGCAAGGATACTGAAAATAATCACAGGTACTAAACCACAGTGCCTCTCCACTAACGCTATGATTTCACGTTCAAATTCATCCTAGACCCGTATCTATGGATAGAGATGGATATATCATGTCAACGAAAAAAAAAAAAGACTCCCGAAAAGCTTCAACCGCCGTATCCAGAGGCCTGACACAAACAGGTGTATTTGTTGTGTTTGTGAGAAGAAAAAAAAAGAAGTGAATTTCAAGAAAAAAAAAGTGTTTCTGTAAGAGAAGAAAAAAAAAAAAGTGATCGTGTAAGAACAGAAAAGAAAAAAAAATCTCACCGAGTCGTTCCCCCCGTCCTTAGTCCCCGAGGCGTGGGCGCCGCCAGCAGACACGAAGTTGCCCATCGTCAGGTGCTCCGGCAGCTTGAAGCGGTTGCGCATGTCGGCCTCCCGCCTGCCGAGGACGGGCGTGTCGACGGTGACGGCGAGGGCGGTGTATCCGGCCGCGAGGGCGCGCTTGACCAGCTGCTCCGTGATCTTGCGGTCCTGTTCGACGCCGGTGATTATGTAACAGAAGGGGATGTTGTGCGTGCGTTTAGAGCACTGATCACGCGTCCTGGGGAGGGCGAGGCATCATATGGGGCGTTTACTTGTTTAGGAAACGTTGCCGTGGAGAGGATATGAAAAACATAAATAATCAGCGTTGCTTTTTCCTCCTTTATCCATGTTTTTGATCGAATATTGTAAATTTGTGGTTCGCCGACGGCGATCAAGTGAGGGCGTTAGAAGCAGCAAACGATAACAAGGCAGATTTGAGCAGCGATGGCTGCTGTTCGTTTCACATCAACGGTGCACATCGTGAGCGCGCGCTACTCTTTCGGCACAAAACAAAAAAGGAAACAGGGCCTTGAGCGTCAGTCACACGAGCAAACCGGGGCAAGTACACAATTTAATATTCAGATGGCATGTCAAGAAATAGAACAACACACACACGCCTAGTTAATGGCATTCAGAATTGTTTTGTGTTTTCAACCGCACAAAGACTGACGTCTTTTCAATAATCAGCTGGTTAGCGCGGTCGATGCTAAAAAAAAAAAAAAACACATGCGCACACCTTGTAGACGTAGAGCTGGAACCAGCGAGCACCCCCGGGCCCCCCGGCCTTGGCGACGTCCTCGAGAGAGGTGGTGGACCAAGAGCTAAGGGTCATTAGGGCGCCCGCTTTGGCTGCGGCGCCGGCGGTGGCACACTCGCCCGAGTCGTGGGCCATGCGCTGCATCGCTGCGGTGGTGCATTTTATCGAATTCATCACGTACCATTTTTGTTGTTAGTGCTGCTGCGCAGACAGAGGCGTGTGTTTTGAGTTTACAGAGAGAACACGAATAAAAACACGTGCTTTTCGGTTTATTGCGGACGCGACGAAAAAGTCCGAAATCTACCCATGTTGAGAAGGAACACATGAAAGAAACAGCTGCGTTTTTCTGTTGTTGGCGTAAACTGGAGCATCAAAATTGCTGCAGTTACAATTGTGGAGCGGGCGTTCGATGGGGCTCTTCGTTGGGGCTGATGGTCTGGTTATTCCGCCGCTCCAGTCTGGTTATTCCACCGCTCCATTCTCGTGCAAGAGTGTCGCTCGCCTACAGTGTCACAACCGTTCTCACAGATTCTACATCGGACTGGCCGCGACGTAACCATAGAGACAACAATAAAACAAAAATATACGTGTGTCCAATGTCAGGTGTAGGTTGATTCAGGACCTTGGTTGCGAACCAGTGGAGGGGGCACGCTGGCCCACGCACGGTAGAAGGGGGGATCGATAGCCCTTCTATAACAGAAACACAGACCAACATGATACACGAAACCCCCGTAAGATCTCCGCAGGCCCGTATCTTGGTGGAGTGCACAACTACATGAACGAACAGACCCCCTCCTCGTTACTAGGTGCGATCTTCGTCGTGCTCCTTCTCATCTTATCGCAAAAGTGAGAACCTCAAATCACAACCTGGATGATCGATCGTTCCAACGTGAAACCAATCTACCAAAGAAATATTGTCCCTTCGAATTCATCCATCTCCCAAAAGAAGTCCATAGTCTGAAATCATTCAAGATGGAGTTCCATTGGGAGATCGACGACTTCGACGGGACCACTTCCCCTTGAGAGATTTGTTTGAATTGGAACGATGGAAGATCCAGATTTGGGGCTTGAGGTTACTACGGCCATGTTGTGCGAGAAGACGAGAGGAATCAAAAGTTCGTATCTAGTTGGTACCAAGCAGGGGGGCTGTTCCTGTAAGGTGTACACAGCAACAAGATACGGACACGCGGAGATCTAAGCGGCGTGTATCATGCTGTTGCTGTCTTCACAACAAATGCTGGCATGTGCTTATAGCAGGGATCGAGGACATGCGGAGATCTAGGCGGCGTGTATCATGTTGTTTGTTGTCTTCACACACTACATGTTGGTACATATGTGTTAATAGCAGGGCGATCGACCCCCCTTCTGCACTCGTTCATGACCAAGGTCAAGGTCTTGGGGTCAACCTTCAACCTTTGCCTGAAGAACCCGCTACCCAACATCCAACACAGTGTTTTATTCCAGACAACTACAACAGTAGCTCTCACCGGTGGGGGCGATGCAGATAGGAGAAGAGATCTTCTGCCCCAGGACCGAGGTAGACGTGTCCACCATGCTCACGTCTCGGAGAATGCGGGGCCGAAGCCGGAGCCGGTTGAACGCCGCCCTGTGGATTCATTTTTTGTGAATAATAATAGCCGAAGTCGCTGGTTGTAGATAGTATGTTGCTCGGATAACAGCGGTAGGACCACAGGCAGGTTGTTGTACACAAGGGCCGACTTCGCGAGAAATTAAGGATCTGAGGAAATAGACCAGGGAGGGGGTACGCAGACCCTATTCCCTATCCCGAACCCAACCTCCCCGATTGTTGCATCTACCCAACATGATTACTTGATGGAAAAAACTCTGCCAAGTCTACTGCTGTTTACACAAACACTTTTAATTCATTGCTGATTTATCCTTCCTTGACACTCAAATATCTGTGGATAGAGATCCTATTTTTTTGTTTTCGTAAGAAAAAAAAAAAAAACAGGGTTGCCGCAAACGACATCAGGTCAAACCATGTAGCGAAGCCAAATGGCCACGGTTATGGCGACACCCATACCATTGGTATGGATTGGTTGCCTAGGCGTCATGGGTAGGTGTGCGGATAAGAAAACATTGGGGGTGATAGTCCTCCCCTTCGGACAGAGAGGACTTCGATGAGTCCAGTCGGATGGATTATCCTGCTGACGTTGGGCGTCACAGACATACATACTCGGAGGCGTGTTGTTTCAGGAGACACACGTACCACATGATGGTAAAATATGGTCGAGGGTTGCGACATGGTTTGACAGTTACATGTTGTAGCGAGAACAGTTTCGTCCTCGACAACGCCATCCACGCACGGAAAAACCCTTCGGACGTGCCGACCAAAGCTCAGCCAGACGCCGGCTTGCGGCCGCCGGGGCGCGTTTGCTCAAGAACCGGCATCGGCCAAGCGTGTTCCGAGGATTGGCATCCAACGCGCTCCAACAGCACACAAGACTGCCGTTCTGCTCAACACCGTGATGTGGGCATCAGTTTCTTCCCCCTCCCCCCCATAGTACGACATGCACGGCTATGAATACTACCTCCACAGCGCGGGCATCTACGCCCCCCCCCCCCGCTCACCTGTTTTCCCTCAAGGTGACCATGTCGTTGGCCCCGCTGGCGTAGTAATCGAAGGCATTCTTGGACAGCATGAGCTGGGCATGGCGCTCGAACTCGCGCACGTTGACAGGCTCCCAACCTGTGACGTACGTAACAAGCACAAGTGACATCGGGTGCGTATGTATGTACTCGATGGTTGAATGCGACGATGTTTTGATGGGGGTTCCGTCGGGGAAACGAATGGCCTCGGTGCTCATGTCATGCATACCCCGGTGTGCAAGAAGCGCGCCCGGGGGGGCACCTCTGGTCGAGACCTACTTCCAGAAGAAACGGGAACGGCCCGCCTGGGCGCCTGGGCGGGGTGATGGCGCCCGTTCATCTTGTACACAAACCCGATCTCTTTCACGGCTCCTAGCATGGTGTCAGACCACACCCCTTGACAGTTTGGTAGCTTGCGTGTGAAAACGAAGAGGACGCTAACGGGGTCGTGACAAGCTTCGAGTCTCCGGGTCTCCGAGACTCGTAGCTTGTCACGACCCCTTCTCCAAGTCTCTG